AATTTCTGTTTTTGTTTCAGATCTCTGGTTAATAGCACTACCGTGCTGGGAAACATTCTGTTTAAATACTGTAGGCTTTGGATGTTTTCAAAGAACAACGAACTGTAGAGCACTTGAACAGACCCTTTGGCCCACTAAGACTGTGCCGACACACGACCTCTTTCTAAACTAAAAACCTTTTGCCTCTATATGGTACGTATCCCTCTATTCCCTGCCTATTCAAGTATCTGTCAGGAGGCCTCTTAAATGTTGCTATTGTATCTACTTCTACCACTTTCTCTAGCAGCGCGTTCCAGGCATTTACCACTCTCTGTTAAAAAAAAACCTGCCTCTCACATTTCCTTTAGACTTACTCCCCTTTACCTTAAACCTCTGTGCCCTAGTAATTGACATTTCTGTCCTGGGAACAAAAGACTCCAACTATCCATTCTAGTCATGCCTTTCATAATTTTGTGAAATTCTGTCAGGTTGGCCCTCATCCTTTGAAGTTTAAGTGAAAAAAAACCAAGTTTCTCTGATCTATCCTCGTATCTAATACCGTCCAAACCAGGCAATATCCTGGTAAATCATTTCTGTACCCCACTCCAAAGCTTCCACATACTTTTGGTAGTGTGGTGACCAGAACTGCACACATGACTCCAAATGCTGCCTATCTAACGTTTCATACAGCTGCAACATTACTTGCCAATTTTTACACTCTATGCCCTGACTGATGAAGGCAAACATGCCATATGGCTTCTTGACCACCTAAACCACTTTCAGGGAATTGTGGACCTGTATGCCTAGATCCCTCTGTATGTAAGTGCTACTAAGGATTCTGCCATTTACTGTAAATCTCCCTCCTACATTAGATCTTCCAAAATGCATCACCTCACATTTGTCTGGATTAAACACATCTGCCATTTATCCGCCCAAGTCTGTAGCCTATTTATATCCAGTTATATTCACTAGCAACCCTCCTCACTATGAGCAATTCCCCCAAACTCTATGTCATCCACACACTTAGTAATCAGACTACCTACATTGTCCTCCAAATCATTTACATGTATTACAAACAACAAGGGCCCCGGCACCGATACCTGCAGAACACCACTAGTCACAGATCTCCACTCAGAAAAACACCCTTCCATCGTAACTCTTTGTCTTCTATGACTAAGCCAGTTCTATCTTACCAGCTCACTACAGATCCAATGTGACTTCACCTTTTGTACCAGCCTGCCATGAGGGATCTTGTCAAAAGCCTTGTTGAAATCCATGTAGACAACATCCACTGCCCTGTCCTCATCAATCATCTTTGCCACTCCTCAAAAATCTCAATCAAGTTTGTGAGACATGACCTTCCTCACATAAAGCCATGTTGCCTATCACTAATAATTCCATTTTTTTCCAATTGTAAGTAAATCCAGCATTTGGAGTCATGTGTGCAGTTCTGGTCACCACACTAACAAAAGTATGTGGAAGCTTTGGAGTGGGTACAGAAACGATTTACCAGGATATCGCCTGGTTTGGGGGGTATTAGACATGAGGAGAGATCGGACAAACTTGGTTTGTTTTCACTTAAACTTCTAAGGATGAGGGCCGACCTGATAGAAGTTCACAAAATCCTGTCCCTAAGAATCTTGTCCAATAATTTTCCTACCACTGACGTAAGGTTCACTGGCCTGTAATTTCCCCTCTTAAACAAAGGAAAATTGTTGGCTATTCTCCAGTCCTCTGCGACTTCTCCTGTGACTAAAGAGGGTACAAAGATTTTGTTCAAGGCCCCAGCAATTTCCAGACCTGCGTTTCTCAGTAATCTGGGGTAGATCTCATCAGGTCCTGGGGACTTGTCTACTTTAATATCTTTCAAAACATCCAGCACCTCTTCCTTTTTTATACCGATATGCCCTAGAATATCAGTATAGCCTCCCGGAGACTCACCATCCAGCATGTCCTTTTCCTTTGTGAATACCAATGTAAAGTATTCGTTAAAGATCTCACCCACTTCCCCAAGCTCCATGTATAAATTACCTCCTTTGTCTTTGAGTGAATTTACCGTTTTCTAGCTACCGTCTTGCTCCTTAATTGTATAAAAAACACCTTGGGATTTTCCTTAATCCTGATTGCCAAAGACATTTCAGCCATCCTAATTCCTTGTTTCAGTTCATTCCCACTATTTGTATTCTTTGAGGGCTTCGTTTGTTTTTGTTTTCCTAAACCTTACATAATTCTTCTTTTTCTTTTTAACTGAGTTCTCAATTTCACTTGTCATCCAAGGTTTCCAGGTCTTGGAATCCTTATCCTTCATTTTCACAGGGACTTGCTGGTCCTGAACTCTAATCAAAAGATTTCCAAATGCAGATGTGCATTTACCCTGAAACATCAGCTCCCCAATCTACATTCTCCAGCTTCTGCTTAACATGGTTAATAACCTTTCCCCAGTTTAGTACTTCCATGCGAGGACTACTCTTATCCTTATCGATAAGTAACTTAAAACTTACAGAATTATGGTCACGGTTCCCGACATGCTCTCTCACTGAAACTTCGCTCACCTGGCCAGACTCATTTTCAACACCAGGTCTCGTATAGCCTCTTCCCTAGTTGGACTACTTACATATTGCTTCAAAACATTATCCTGCACACGGCTAACAAATTTCCTCCCTTCCACCCCACCTCCCCACCCCCATCTAAGCCACTAAGGGAGTCCTCGTCAATATAGGGGAAATTAAAATCACCCACAACAACCCTGTTGTTTTTACATTTTTCCATAATCTGTCTGTTCCTCTATCATTGTTTTTGTGTGCTGTTGTTGGGAGGCCTGTGGTACAATCCCATCAAAACGATTGTACCCTTCCTATTCCTGAGCTCTAGCCCTACGGTTTTGCTGGGTGACTCTTCCAAAGTATCGTTCCTCAGTAAAGCTGTGATATTCTCCCTTATTAGTGATGCAGGCATTTCAACAGAGGAGGGCTCAGCCCCACGCTGCCCTGCAGAGTGATGAATATTTATGAATTGCTCACACCAGGTACAGAGGAGAAATATGGTGGTGTAGTATCAAGCTGAATATTGCGAGAACTTTCTTCAGTCAGGTCCCCAGGATCTAACATCACCTGGAGGTGTAGCCCAGCGACTGTCACACAGTGATTACTTACCACTTGTGTAGCCTCACGGTCAGTTAGTGGGGCTTTCCCCAGCTCCACGGGTAACAGGTGAGGGTGGACCTAGAATAGCTGGAAAACAGATCCTCCAACCCCTTCCCAAATCCGAGCACCACTTCTCTGGGCCAATTCCCACTCCCTGTAGCTTCCAGTCAACCAGAACCCCAGGACTCACTCCACCACACCCCAATACTCCCCACTAGCTCACTGATAGGTTCAACCCCATTTAAATGTGACCCTCCTGCTCTCACAACCTGTAGCAACGCTACAACATACATGATGTTTTCTAGAAGGGAAACCAGTTAAGGAGTAATACTTGGAAATGTACTGGTTATGCTGCACCTCTAATTGGAAGTATACAATACAAATTGTGAAAGTTTTTAAAAAAAAATTATTCATAGAATGAGGGCTTCACTGGTTGGGCCAGCATTTATTGCCCAGAGGGTAGTTAAGAGTCAACAACATTGCTGTGTGTCCAGATTCACATGTAGACCAAGCCAGGTAAGGATGGCAGATTTCCTTCCCTAAAAGACATTAGTGGACCAGTTGGAGTTTTCCTGACAATCAGCAATGTTATTTGACTCTTAATTGAATTCAAATTCCACCATCTTCTCCAATGGGATTTGAAGCCAGGTCCCCAGAGCACTAGCTGTGTCTCTGGATTAACAGTCCTGCAATAATATCACTAGGCCATTGCTTCACCCTTATTAGTGATGCAGTAGTATTGCCCCTACCTCAGGGCTTGTAGGCCTGTGTTCAAATCTCACCTGCCCTCAAAAGGTGCCTAAACAGGTTGGTTAAACAGTCTGGTCAGACCAGACCGTGATGGAAGTGTCATTGGACCCGAAATGTTAACTGACTTCTCTCCACTGATGCTGCCAGACCTGCTGAGCTTTTGCAGCAATTTCTGTTTTTCATTCTAGTCAGACCAGAATGTCTTGTTCCTCAGTTTTATTGTATTGTTTTAACTTCCTCCCAGTCCTGAAATTATAGCCAGCAAGACTACCAGTTCTCCCAAAACAGACAAGGTTAAAGTGTTTTTTTTTTAATTGCATTGCTGGTCCCCCTAAAATCTGAGATCACTCATAATGGGATTCGAAACCTTAACTCCCTTCAGATGCTGGCAATCTAGCTGAAGACTGTCTTTCAAAACTCCATGCTGCATCTCGAGCACTTTATAAAAACCGAAAGAACTGTGGATGCTGTAAATCAGAAGCAAAATCAGAAGTTGCTGGAAAAGCTCAGCAGGTCTGGCAGCATCAGTGGAGAGAAATCAAGAGTTAACATTTCGGGTCGAGTGACCTTTCCCTGAAACGTTAACTCTGATTTCTCTCCACATATGCTGCCAGATCTGGTTCAGCTTTTCCAGCAATTTCTGTTTTTGTAGATAGGAGCATTTTCCTATCCACAATTTCCTTTCAAAAAAAAAAGATGTGGGGTTAAGCCCACATGATCAGGAGCGTGCAGCCAGCTTGGGGTGAGGACAGCTTAAACAAATCTTCTGGAAAAAGAAATGAATGGAGATCTGATGGTACCAAGTCTGGAAACTGTAGGAACTGATCAGCGCGCAGATCGAACCAAGAATTACTCAGTTCATGACAGACTTCCAAATTGGGGAAGTGGGTGGGAGAAAGGCATTGAATTCTCCCAGAAATTTTTTTTTGGGAAGGGGAGAAAGCAGGCTTCAGCAAGAAAGGAAACGTGACTAAGGAGTCCTTTATTTTCCCCGTGCTCCCTCCCACTTTTGCAGCCTGCATTACTTGGGGGGGGGGGAGAAAAAAAAACATGCTATCAAAAGTAGCTACACGTCAGGCTCTCATTTCCTTTTACGTATAGGAAGTACCCGGGTTAGAGGTCGTTTATACACACACACAGACACACATATCTTAGCAAAGAGAAAGGAAGATCAGGAACTAAGGGAGGTGGGGGTGGTTTTTGTGCGCGGCTGCCTTGCATTATCGCTGCGCTACTCCCCGGCTTTTGCAACAAAGGAGTGACAGGACACACAGAGAGAAGGGCTGATCAATTTCAGTGCAATTCAATTCTCAGCCTGTGCAAAAAGAGAGAGAAATCATGTGATGGAAACGGAAGTAGCCAACAGCTGATGACTGACCCAGGTGAAGTATCCATGTTTAGAGAGGACACTCACGGTGGGGGCTCTCAAACAATAAAGGAAACTGTGAGAAAGCTCCTAGTTGGTCGCCTTTTGGTCATTCTTGTCATCATGGTCGTCTTTTTGTTTTAAAATTTCGCTTCGTAATTATTTCCGTGTGTCAACTTTCTTTTTGTATCTGTGCCCTTGTTCCCTCTCGTAGGGGAAAGGGGGGGGGGGGGGGGTGGTGAGTGATCTGGTTGGGTTGAAGTTTGCTACAGGATGGGGGTTCCCCGTTCTATTTCCAGCTGAAATTGACACATTTGTTGCTAGCGCTTTATTGTTGCCATTTCGTGGGAAGGGGAGGGGGTATCCCCTTCCCTCTCTCTCTCTCTCTCTCTCTCTCTCTCTCTTCCAAACCACATTCACTGATCAAGGACAATTTTGCCCAGAAGGAGAGAGGCAACAGCAACATTACACGCTCTGTGTATGCCCACACTTTAAGCCTTGTTTCCCCCAGGCACTGGGGAGGAGGGAGAGAAAATGAATGAGTATTTTTTTTTTTAATCTGTTCTTTTGTTGTTTCAGGTATCTGAGGATTGACTGGAGCTGACTTTTGTGTCTCTCTCTCTTCTTTGCACCCCCACTTACCACCTGAGCCGAGAGAGTGTGCATGTGAAGGGAACAAAAGGGACACCAAGTGATCGCTGTCGATAGCCAGAACATCCCCAAAAAAAAAAGGATCTGTCTCCTGAAGGATTTCTTTTCTCTTTTGGAGGTTTTGTTTATTTCGGTGGAAAATTGGGAATGCAGGATTTGTTGGACTCATTTATCCAGGGGGTTGGAGACCCGAATGAATGACAAAAGGCCGTTCCCACTAAAAGGGGACACGAGGGCTGTTTCGGAAATCGACTTAAATGTGAGGAAGTTGAGTCAATTAGAAGGCCCCTGAACCCAAGGAATTGTGTACAAGTCTATTGTTCCCAAGTGCCTGCAAGCTTGGATTCCTTTACACACCTTGACTGCTTTCTTTGGATCATTCCTGCTGCTGTCAATGTGATGGAACTAATGTTTGCAGAGTGGGAGGATGGCGAGAGATTTTCCTTTGAAGACAGCGACCGGTTTGAGGAAGATTCTCTCTGTTCCTTCATATCCGAGGCAGAGAGCTTGTGTCAGAACTGGCGAGGATGGAGGAAGCAGTCTGCTGGCCCCAATTCACCAACTGTTAAGATCAAAGGTGAGCCAGTGTTGTGTTTTTTACAATCAAGTGTCCTTGGCGATTCTCATTTGCCTTATGTTATTTCACTTTCTTTAACTTAATGTAATTTTTTTGTTAGCAAGACTCGAAACAGATGCAGTATTCCAGTGTAAACATCCCTCTGCCGCCAACTGTCTTACAATGCAGTCCTACTGTCTGCACAAAGTTTTACACAAAAGAACGTCCTGATAGCTATCCTTAATGTGGAGCTAACCTTCTGAACTTGATCCAGAACAGAATAGGGAGGGTCTAAACTTGTTTAAAGCTTGCCTTTGTAAATGGTGCATCTCCCATTTCAGCAAAAAAAAGGCCAGTGCACAATACTGGATTGTAATAATAACAGTGTGACTGGCCAATTTTTGTTGTGGAAAAGTGAACGTTCGGGGCGTTTTGAAGTTAGGGAGACCATTTTGACTTGTGTGTTATTTTATGAGGCCCATGCTGTAACAGTTCAATGATTCCATGTGTTCCTGCCATCCATACATTATCATGCATGTATGGATTTCTCCACAGAACATTATTGTAACATTTTCTGGATAACTGCCATTTTTGGTGCCATGCAGGATTACACCTAGGGGCAAATTCATTTGTAGACTCCTAATGGTTCTTCAGATTTGCTGTTGAAAGCTATGTATATATGTGAATTGGATAAGTTGTCAGTGGTAAGTATTTTTTTTGCTGTGGGGAGTAGATGCCATCCACATACGAACTTGCATTGTGCTTTGTTACCATTCATTTATAGCCTCCTTAAGTGCTCTCCTAACCAGCCCAATTACCATCTTCCCACCACCACCTCCTCTCCTGCCCCTTCACATGAATCTCCCATTTACCCTGCTGACAGATCTGGCATTGCCTCTGCTAAAGTTCTCACCCTGATGTTCAAGACCCTGTAGGATCTTGTCCCGCTGTGTCTCTGTAACCTGATTCCATTCTGGTTTCCTGCATAGCCCTGATTTTTATCACTTATCATGCCTCCTTAAATCTCCCTTGGTCTTCCTTTTTAAAAACACTCCACTAAAGTCTAGCTCTTCGTCCAGCACCTGTGGCTTTGTGCGACGTTTTGTCAATGTACCTGTGAAATGCTTTGGGGTGGTTTTACTGCATTAAAGGTGGTATATAAATGTGAGGGGCGACACCTGGTATCTTTATAACCGAAGCCAAATTGTGCCTTGACTTACTGGACAGCCCCCCCCGGCTAGGAATGATTTTGATGTAGGAGGATGATGTTTGGGGATGGTGGGGGGGAAGTGGATGCAGGAGGGAATATGGAAACAAGAGGCTGGGTTCAATTCTTCCAGTGGATGGTTGGAGTCGTGACTGTTTTACACAATAATTTGCGCAGGGACTGTTGTTTGGACAGCAACCAGATTTGAGATGTCTTAAAAAGAGTGTTTAGGTTGACTGTACCTGTGCACAAAGTTATTTCTGGCAGATTTTGTTTCTCAGAAATATCTTGGCTAGCCTGTTGCTGGAAGTTGGGATTTATTAATTATTTGGTTCCTGCGTAATTTGAGTCTTTTCATGTTCAAGTGAATGCTTAGGAAGCATCTTTGGGAGGCAAGTTCTTGACTCCTTGATGTATGCAAGTTGGGTGTTGAGAATAGTTTTTTTTTCTGTCCTGTAGCTGTTGAATGCATTTAGAGACAGAGCATCATAGCAACATAATATTACAACCTGTGATTGATTTATTTGTTGTCATGTGTACCAAAATACAGTGAAAAGCTTTGTTTACGAGAGTACCGGCAGATCGTGGTAAGCACAAGACATGCAGATCAAAAAAAACTTAGACAGAGGTGTACAGGTTACATTGCACAGGGTGTTCACTAGGCAACATCAACGTTAGCAAGATCAGTGTTATTTGAGGCTAGAGAATCCATTCATCAGTCTGATAATGGCCAGTAAGAAGCTGTTCCTGAACCTACTTGTGTATGTGTTCAGGTTTCTGTATCTTCTGCCTGACGGAAGAGGTTGTAGGGGATCATTGCCGGGATGCGATGGGTCTTTGATGTTGGCCGCCTTTCCACAGCAGCGAGCCGTGTAAATAGAGTCCGTGGATGGAAGGTTGGCTTCCGTGATGGTCTGGGCTGTGTACACCACCTTCTGTAGTTTCTCAGGGTCCTGGGCAGAGCAGTTGCCATACCAGGCTGTTATGCACCCGGACAGTATGCTTTCAATGGTGCATCTGTAGAAGTTGGTGAGGGACCTTATGGATCTGCCAAATTTCCTGAGCCGCCTGAGTAAGAAGAGGCATTGTTGTGCCTTCTTGGCACAATTACTGATTATAAAAACAGAAAGAACTGTGGATGTTGTAAATCAGGAACAAGAACAGGAGTTGCTGGAAAAGCTCAGCAGTTCTTGCAGCATCGGTGGAGGGAAATCAAAGTTAACATTTTGGGTCCAGTGACCCTTCCTCAGTTCTGAGAAAGGGCCACTGGACCCGAAACGTTAACTCTGATTCCTTTCTACAGATACTGCTAGAGCTGCCGAGCTTTTCAAGCAATTTTTGTTTTTGTTGTTTGTGTTTGAGTCTCTGCCTTTTCTCTTTTTTTTCTCTCTTCCATTCTTTGATGCTGTCTCGCTCTCGCTCTCGCACTCTCTCTCTCTCCAAAACGCTAAATCTATCATTAAGTAGTATCTGATACAGGTATAAACAATTTTTGATGCAGGTGACTGATTCCTTCTAAAAAGTTGCATTTCTCAATGCACTTTATTGAAGGAGCTTTAGGTCTCATAGAAATGCAAGTTGTTTTGGCTGAAATTTTGTTTGCAAACTGTACCAATACAATGATATATAGCACTGAAGAAATACATTTTAATAATTTTACTGCTTTTATAAAACATATTTAATAAATTGAGGCTACAGAGATTGTTGTATTTCAAACTGATGGAAGCATGTCCTTTTAATTTTGCATAAATGGTTCTGTGTTTCTGATTGAAACTATTTCCAAGTAGTTTTGTTTAAATTGAAAATTACGTTATGTCAGAGGCATGTAGTTCACTTGAGGTCATAGAATTTGTGTCTGTAAAGATTTAATCTCAAGTCATGCAGTGGAGGGTGACTGAGAAAGGAATGGCTGATACTTACAAAGACGAGGACTATTTCCTGTAATTATAGCAAACATTGAAGGGCTCAGAGTTGCTACTGGGTCAATCTGATGTATCAACAACAAGTTACTATTGAAAGAAAAGTAATTGAAACTTTTGACTGTGATACTTTAATTCATCACTGCTTTAAATTCTCTCACATCTTAGTGATTAGAATGTAATTATCTGTATTTCACCCAGACTTTAGCAGTTTTGATATTGTATAAATGCACTGGGGTGAGTCCTTGTGGTATTGTACCTCTGAGACAAGAGGCCTAGGTTCAAGTCCCATCTGCTCCACAGGTGTATCATAGCATCTCTGAACTGGTTGAAAAAATATCCATAAATAGTGTGGGCGACTCTGTTTAACTTAAGGCCATACTTTATATACTGGGGCTTGCTCCAGGTTCAGAGTGGGTTTGCACAGTGAAGATGGGAGTAAATCTGACTCATTGCTGTTAGGTTTAACAGTGGAGCTCTGAAGGAGAAGTGAGTTCTCCTCCATGCTTTCAGGTCTGAGGTGCCTATGTTATTTCTATCTGTCTGGGTGCATTACCATCTGGAGTCAGTGACGACGAGTAATGTGGGGTCACATTAGGTGCGGTTCGATGGGAATGTGACATTCAGAACAAAAACAGATCAATCTTATTGAATGGCTGCATCAATGACAGAAATTGCTGGAAAGACTCAGCAGGTCTGGCAGCATCTGTGGAGAGAAATCAGAGTTAATAGTTTTGTGTCCAGTGACCCCCCTTCACTTTCTTTTATTGAACAGCTGAGCAGATTTGAAGGGCTGAATGGCCAACTTCTCTTAATTGGTATGTTTGTACGTAATTACCTTTTTTAAAGTACGCACATTTCAAATACATCAGCACAGATCAAATGTATTACACGATCTGTTCTGTTTGGGAAATGCATGTCAAATATTTTTAGAAATGTGGAAATTCTGTTGTAGCCTGGAGACTTTTGCCACAACAGGGAGCAAGAGAGCGATGGAGTATCGCTCTGAGGGGGAAACCAGATAAATGCTTGAAACAGAGGAAGGTGCAGGTTCAGGAAGGGATCAGGGCAGTGGGATTAGCTGTGCATTGCAATGAGATCCTAAAGGCACACTGCACCGAGTTGGTACCTACTGTGCTGCAAACAAATTGCGAGGAGGTTACAAAAAGTCAGGTGAATGAGTGAGGGAGGTTTGGCAGATGGAGTATGATGTGAGTGAGAATGGATGGGCAGAGTTAAATGCAGAACTCTGAGGGCCAGAGCATTCTGGGTGTCACGGTGCATGAATCCCAAAATGTTAGTGTGTTCAGCTACAGCAAGTAATTTGGAAGGCAAATAGGAATGTTGCCTTTTATTGGGATAAAGGGATGGCGTAAAAATGTAAATACGTGTTGTTACAGCTCCTGTATAGGTTCTTGAAGTGACAGTGTCTGGAGTACTGTGTGAAGATTGGTCCCTTTACTTAAGCAAGGATATACTTGCATAGGAAGCAGTTCAGAGGGGCCTCAAATGACTGCTTGCTGGAATGGAATGGGTTGCCTTGTAAAGGAAAGGCTACATGTTGTTGGAGTTGAGAAGACGGAGCGGTAATCTTGTTGAAATAGATTGTCAGGTCCCTCAGAATGTTACATGGATGTTTTATGTTTCCTTTTTGGGGGAATCTGGAACTGGATGATGGGGCAGTTCAAAAATAAGGATCACCAACTTGAGATGGAGATGAGGAGGAACTTTTTGTCTTTAGGTTTTGGGATACTCTTCCCCATAGAGTAATATACTTAAGGCTTAGTTAGACAGTTTTTTGATCCATGAGGGAGTAAGTGATTATGGGCAACAATAAACAAAGTGAGTTAAGGCCACACATATATCAGCTGTGTTCTTATAGCAGAACAGACCCA